ATCACTTTACACTCATCTCCACTGAATCTATACTGAACTACTAGTTCCTTGTAGTTTCACCTTGGTCTTTACCACATTAAATAATTTTGTGTCTTCTGCAAAGCTGCCAACTTACTACTCAACCCTTTTCCACATAATTTATGAATATGTTAAACAGCACTGGTCCCAATACAGATTCCTAGGGGACTCTACTGTTTATTCCTTTCCATCCCTAAAACTGAACTTTAAGCCAATTGCTAATCTACAAATTAACTTTTCCTGTAATCCCATGACTGCCTAACTTCACTAAAAGCTTAGTGGACATTGTCAAAAGCTTTTTCAATTACCAGATATGCTATGTCAGCTGGATCATGCCTGATCCACCTGTTTGCTGACACCCTCAAAGAACTATAATAGGATGGTGAGGCCTGATGTCCTTTTGATAATACCATGTTGATTCCTCCCCAGCAAGTCATGTTAATCTATATGCTGAACATTTTTTTATTATGTTTCTACCAGTTTTCCAGAAACACATCTAGGCTCACCAGCTCATACTTTTCTAACCCCACTCTAGAGTCTTTTAAAAAATATTTTAGTCACATTGGCAGTTCTTCTCTGGTACCCAGGCTGTTTTTAGTGATAAGTTACATACTACAGTTAGGCATCCAGCTTGCATGAAGATTATGAAATCTTCATAATTTTACAAGGAGGAAACAAGTTTTACCACCTGAAACCTGAGACACTGCTCCTGCCTTTGTTCAAGGTAATTTGCATTATCACAGAGCCCAGAGATACTTTACCACATAAGAAATTCTTGCCCAGAAGAACATTCTATCTTTTTATGCTTCTGAAGTATGAAACATCATAACCAGAAGGAAATATGACTCTACATCCTGCTTGCCACCAAACAACTTTGAGGTAAACAGACTATTCCAACTTTTCCCTAAGCCTAATCTGCATAAAATGAACTGTTCCAAACAGGAGATTTTACCACGCCTTCAACTCTCCTATGAAATTTGAACTTTCATTTCTACCTAGGATAACTTTTGCAATCTTTTCTCCTATGCCTGAAGAAGGGTGGTTGTGCCTGAAAGCTTGCAAATAATTTTTTTTTTCAAAAATCTAGTTGGTCTAATAAAAGATATCACCTTTCTACAAGTTCTGATTCCATACTACAGTTAGCATTTCAGCAATTTCCCATCTGAGCTCCTTTAGGACCCTAGAATGAATGCCATCAGTTCCTGGTGATTTGCTACTGTTTGTTTAGTTTATCAGTTTCCTCTATGACCTTATTTGCTGAAACCTCAATGTGTGTTAGATTCACCAACTTGTCTCTAGGGAAGGGTGGATCTGGTAAGAGACTCTCCCTAACATCTTCCACAGTGAAGACAGCTGCGAAGAATGCATTTAGTTTCTTGGCAGTGGCCCTTTCATCCTTTAGTGCCCCTCTTACACCTTGATCATCCAAAGACCCAACTAACTCCCTGGAAGGACTTTTAGTATAATTAAGGATTTTTTATTGTTACCTCTTACATCTCTAACAAATTTCTCCTCAAATTCTTTCTTAGTTTGTCATGGTGAGCACTGACTTCTCAACAACATTTACCCAACTTTCTCTAACAGCATCAGTCCCCTTATGAATTTAACAATTAAGAAGGCAGGGCCAATGCATAAAAGCCTGACTTCCTTGGCCTCTTATGTTCAAATCATTAAATGCATTTAAAACATGTTAACAGTCTAATACAAGCACAAAAGAGTTTTTCACTCTCTCACCCATGCATACCAATGGGGAATGTGCAAATAAGGAACATGGTCCCCTGTAATCTGACCTTGCATACCAATGTAGGCATAGAAATAAGCACTACAGAGAGGTTGTCACACAGGTACAGTAGCAGCAGGGTCACATATAATATAGTACAGACAAAAACACTGTGAAGTCAGTGGATTCTAGCATTCTGTTCTAGCTGAAGTGGTCTTCACATTCAGCCTCAGTCAGCGATTGCTACAATAATTCAATCTGGAAGTGACAAAGGCATTTACAACAATAGTGAGATCAGAAAGAAAGGTCCTTAGCACAAGCCCAGATAGGGAGAAAAAACACTTCTGGCTGTTGTGACTACCTGAGTCCCCAAGAAGTTTCTAAGAGTTTCATGAGACATATCAGGTCTTTATAGGTCTCCTTTACATTATAGACCCTTTACACCAATTTGCAGTATAAAAGAATCATAAAATTGGTGTGAATAAAAGGTTTGTAATCGGTGAGAAACACACTGCCAGAACCTGCATGTTAACTGCAGGTGGGAAGACCCTCAGGACCAGCAGTGTGATAGAAAGGAGAAGACATACAAGCAGCCAAAACTATAGGTGAAAAGCATCTCTGCAAAATACATTTAAAAAATGTAATGATACATACAATAAAAGTAAATCAGGTATTCAGTGGTTTCTTTTTCTGAAAAAAATTGCCATCTATTAGAGGTTTTTTACATTCCAAAAAAGAAATCTTCTGTGTGAGGCACAAGATGAATGGCAATTATTCCCTTAGCGTTCTTAAGAGAGCCATCTCTCCTTTGATTCATTTTTGTACAGGGACAGCTCAAATTTTAAGTTCTCATCAGAAAACAATTGGGTTCTAGCCTCTGCAATATATTTTCATTCATAATAAAATCCTACCAGCATGATTAATGAAAGGGGAAAAAATGGACAAAGTATGCAGAAAAAACATAAGCAAAGAGCTTATTCTTCTCTCACTTACATTAGTATAAAACTCTTTCTTCTCAGTGCTATAAAACTGGTTTAAGTGACAGGAAGCAGGTAGAAACTACAGTTTTCAGTATTACAAGTTTTGGCCTAGATCCTGTAAACACAAGTGCCCCTGATTTCAAAGTTAAACAAATTTATACACATTTACAAGAACAAAGACAAGATTCACAGCTGGTCTTACAAGGAAGTTAACATTTTAGGTAAGGTACAGACATTATGCATACTGTGCTATAAGCATGCAAAAAGCACTCTATAGCCATAACAGAACAGAAATTCAGTTCTCATAGAGTGCTTTAAAAATGGCAGATCACACTCTAAGTTAACCCTCGATGGATGTGCTATCAGACTAAAGTGCTTTAGGTTATAGTGCTTTTTTGAATGAATATGCCACATCCCATTGGGCATGAAGCTAGGCTGTATTCGCCGGCATCCCAAGGACTCCTTGCAGGATAGTGTGCTTGCCCAAGCACCAGCCCTGCCCCCTCAGCTGTCACTGACCTGAGCCAGTGACAGCCCCTGATCTTAGTCCTGGGTCCTCCATCAGGTCAGCTGTGAGCCAGAGCCTAGCGGGGGTGTGGGGGCAGTGGGAGAGGAGAGAGAAAGGGGAGTTTATGTCCACACAGCTGCCCCACAGCATGACACAGCCAAGCCAGGGGTGCTCCTTTCCCCAGCTGCAGCCAGTAGCTGCAGTGCAGTGCCACTTTTCACCACAAGAACTCAAGCGGAGGGAGTGGAAACTCAGGCTTCCCCCCCCCCGCCCCCCAAGTTTCCCAGCTCAGGTCTTGATGGGGGCCGGGTCAGGCCCCACAGCAGCAGGGAGGCTCCTGTTCCCCAGCTGTAACCAGGAACGACAGTGTGGGGCTGTGCCAGGAACTCTGGCAGGAGAGGAGGGGGTGGAAAAGGAGCCCCCCTGCTGTGCAAGTCCAGCCCCCACCAAGCCCAGCGCCAGGAAGCTGGAGGATGCCCACCCAGCATGGCAGCTCCTTTCCCACTCTGCCTCTCCAGAGTTCCCAGTGTAGCGAAAAGTAGTGTAGCTCGTGCTGCTACTCCAGCTGACTCTCTGTAGGGAGTGGGGTTTGGGGTATGTGGGTCTCCAGCCTTGCCCTGAGCAGGGCCATGGTGTAGTGGGGCAGGGAGTGGAGCTGCTGCTGCCACCACTGCCATTGGTATTTAGCAAAGCATAGGGCTTGAGTGCATGTAGGACAGGGGTCAGCAACCCCTGGCATGTGTGCCAAGCATGGCACGCATGGCAATTTTGCTCAGCACACCACCGCCAGCCTTGCTGCCAGCCATGGAGCCCAGGCTGCTCCCAGCAGGTGGCTGGGAGGCTGCAAGCCCTGCTGCAAGCAGACTGGGCTCCTTGGGCTAGCTGCAGCTGGGAGGTTGCAAACAGCTGCTCCAGGCTCCGGCATGTCTGTACTCCCGCACCTTCCAAGGTAGACATTCTGTTTTTTTCGGCACTCCAGCCAAAAAACATTGCCTACCCCTGGTGTCAGAACACACGTGTGTGTGGGTCTCCATCCTGGCCCCAAATAGAGCCATGGCACAGTGGGGAAGGGAGCAGAGTTTCTGCCACTGCTGTTGGCATTCAGCAGGGAGCAGAGTTTGGGGGTGGGGGGGTGCCCATGTCCGTGTCCAGCTTGGCCCCAAGCAATCTTGCCCTGCACCCCTCCTCTCCCCCAATCCATAGCAGGTCCAGAACAGTGCCCCCAGCCATTATTGCAGCTCCAGGGAGATGCTAATGCCCAGCCTTTCCCTGCTGGCACTCAGCAGACAGCCTCCCATGCTTGGATCCTGGTCCCTGGGTGTCCCCAGCCTGGCCCAGAGGTCCCTTCCAGCCCTGCTTCTCTGTGATTCTCTGATTCCTGTCACTGACAGAGTGGGGAAGGGGAGGGGAGGGGGAGACAGCTCCCCTACCCCAGGCAGCCAATCAGGGATGGCTTGCCCATTTGGCTGTGCTTGAGAGTCTACAGCAGCCTGGGAAGTCTGTGGGGCATGCTGGGATGCATGCAAGAGCTCCCCTATCTCCTGGCCTCAGGTAGTGCAAGGCCCCCCATACCGAAGAGTGAACATCTGTTCAGTTCAAACATGCTCTAACTTATAGAGCTTTTAGTAAAGTGAAATACAGCACTTTCACCATGGACTTTTTGAACATCTCTACTTAGGCTTAATGCTCAGCTGAGGAGACAGAAGATGCAAAATGTTTCCTTTTTGCTGTACAAAGTTAGTACAGTGAGGCAACAACTTATTACTGCACATACCTATGGGGAAAAACTCGCCCATTTTCTTCTTGAAAATTTTGTAGTCGACCTCCAAAAAGACACAGAAGATGATCCGATCCACCTGTAAACAAAAAAATTATTTGTGGTGAAACAGCAGTCACAAGAAAGGTTAATAAGAATAGCTCCATAATAATAAGAATATTTCTTCACAGTATAGAGATATTTAAACCAACATTGGTTTTATACTCCAGGCAAGTGGGAAAACATTGTTTTTTTGTGTTTACTGCATAACAGTGTTGTAATTTACAAAATATCATTTGTAACTGCGGCTCACTACTGTGTTCTTTGTTAACTGCCTACTGTTTACTCAAACCACCCCTGAGCATGGTATAAATGAGTTCTGGCAGTCTGGCTGAATACCTGGATGCACCATTTGATGGAATAGTTGCATGAGGAGTGTCTAGCAAAAGTACAATAGAATAAATAGGTAAGCAAAGAGTCCTGTATGCAATTCTTGTCCAACAAACATATTTGCAAAATCATTTAGTATTTAAGAATGGCTTTAAAAGCTTTCATGTGGTTTTAATTTACATGAAACAATTTACTGTCAGTATAATCCAGCAAGAAATGCAAGAAAAACAAAATGTTGATTAGATGACAGGTAGCTCAATGGGTAAATAAAGCATTTAATATACCATAGAGCCAGTGAGGCCAAGCATGTAAATGGCAGTACAATGCATAATGGATGCACCACCCGCTCACTTCTTCAAAGAAATTACCAGGGAAATCATAATTTGTGCAAGGTTTTTCCTGTAGAGTCAAAAATTAAGACTGTGGGGAAGAAAAGCCACATTGGACTCATTCAATTCTTGCTTATTTTTCTACTAGTCTGTAAAACTCAGGTTGCAGGCCTCAGAGTAGAAAATCTTTGTAGGAGAAAGCTGCTGATGCACAAGGCCTAAGCGTTCTGTTTAGCTGAGGCCCCTGACACCTGGTAGTCAGCAATCCCCTGCAAGTGGGTGATGATTAGCCAGAAAGGAAGGTCTGGTCAGAGCCACAGCAAATTCACTATCTATGCTGAGAGATCCCCTGTGAAGATATGATGGCAAATATAAAGCTACTTCCCCCTTGCAGAACTCCTGAAGATGCTGGTTGTACATATACTTCAAGTCTCTCCCTTATGATGAAAAATGTAGCATTGCTAGCAGCAGCCCCTATGCAGATCAGTTACAACAGAGATATGCAGAGAGGAAAAAAATCCTAACCTTCGCTACAAATTTGGTTATTCAGAGCAGCTGATTCTAGGTAAACTGAAAGGGGCAGATCCTGGACTCAGCTCCCCTTTCTCAGTATAGATCAGTTCATCCTTTTAGACCTCAGTTTAGAATAACACCTCTTTAATCTGGGAAAATATCATCCAAAAACTGAAGGAAAAATCAGAAAGACACTGGGAGGCTGGAGGATGGTATTGGCTAACCTCAAGTTTTCAATTCAAAGATAATCACGGACTCTGTTATAAAGAGCCAGGGTCAACAGCAGAAGCAGTTAAACCTATTTCATGCAATGAGACAACTAGAAATAGCAGAGGCTGGCACAGAAGATGCTGGGCTGTATGGGAAGGCGTGAACATAGTTAACCCAGAGAGATTAACAGGATTAAAAGATTAGCAGTTTTCCTGACAGAAAACACAGGGCTATGATACTGGCTTGCAAGGTAAGAGTGTATGGCAAAAGACTAGAGAAGACTGTGAAAGGAAGATTGAGAACTTTTTGGGCACAGGGCTTCCTGGGGAGACTCCAGCAAATACGTGCATCAAGAAACTGACTGCTG